ACCGCTCTTGGATTAAACCCTCCTTAGAATGCATTGCACAAAAGAACTCGTTCGAAAGATAGTTTAGCTGTAAACTGTAGTTCTTTGTGAATGTTAAACCTGCATGCTTGCAATCATAACCTCCCCTAAAGTAAGGAATTTCTGTCACTTAAAGCGAGTCGATCGGGCAGATAAGTTCTTAGTTAGGTCACTGTATATTACAGTCTTAAATATAACCAGACGTCTGTACAGTAGTTCTCTACCTCAACTAACTTCTTGTCAACCGAAACGTGTTTTGATAATTACTTCACAAGTTCGTTAACAGTTTGAAGAATAAATTCGTGTGTTTGTGATTTTTTTACTTGAAACACAATTTCGTTATTGTCTTAACTTGTCAGCTGTTATTTCTTCCCTTGAGCTCCTACAAATGAAAGCGAACCACAAAATATCTGGAGGATAAAATTCTGGCTTCAGGAATCCTTGCTAGTGTCGATTTACAACAGTTTTTGAGGCTTCAGGCTTTTGCTGTAGCTAACAGGGAATATCTGTTTACCTTGTAGAAAAATCCTCTACTTAGATCTAAATCTCTTAGATCTCATTATTGCACAAGATTTGTTAATTAATCTGAAGATTTATCTATTTTATGGCCTTTATCCCTGGTTTCATCAGCTTACTTACCACAATCGCGATACACACTCGCAACAACTGTCCCTTTGTTGCCTGATTTAGAAGCCCATATGCTAAGCCGTGATCTTGTAAATTTGAGCCATTTCCGGACATGGAGAGAGTTCAGCTTGGGAGTCAAGCTGTATTTATCGGCTATAGATTGTAAAGCCCAACACCAACCCGAAATTAGTAAGTATGGTTAATCTCACTAACTGATTTCCCTGTTGATAAATTCTTGATGGATTTAACGTCTCCTTTACACTCCTTGATGATGCGGTTTGATGTTCCTCGGAGAGGAGAGGCTTCATAACCAGCGTCGTAATTTGTCAATTGTTGAACCTTTTTCGGGAACTTTTTTTTGTGTATTATTTTTTATTTTGTGTATTTTTGGTTGATTTTACTGCTACCTTGAAAAATATTATCAAGTTTTCTTCTACTTGAATGCCCCTTTGTTCTCACAGAAGCTTAGTCAGAATGACTCCAAATTATGAAGAGAGTGGGTGTTTTGTAAATTTAAACAATAAGCCTGTAAAGAAACTTTTAACCCTTCAACTCCCATAAGTGACCAAGACAGAATTTCTCCTTACGTTATCGATACGACATCAAGCAGACAAGTGATAAGATTGACTCTATCACAGTTGATCCAATATCATATTCTCCGGACTAACATCGTCAGAATTGTATGGTAGAAAGCTGGGAGAATTAATAAGATCTTGGGAGTGACTAACAGGGTTAATAGAAAAACGTGATCTCGGTAATTCAAGAAATTTATCGGTGTTCCAGGCAAGCTTTTACAGATTTATCAGTCTATAGCTATCAAAATACTATTTTGCGAAGTCAGATTTTCTTTTAGTGGGTTTTTCCAACCTCTATACAAGCCATATAACTAACTATTGGTTACTAAAGATTAACCCTTTAACTCCCATGAGTGACCAAGACAGAATTTCTCCTTACAATGTCAATGCAATATCAAGCAGACAAGTGATGAGAATAAAGAAAAACATCAATTGAGGGATCATAAGTTGATCCAATACCAAATTCTCCAAACTAACATCACAAGAACTGTATGGCAGACAGTAAGGAGAATTACTAATGAGATCTTGGGAGTTAAGTGAATTCCTCCGCATAGCCTATGCATGCTGAGATACACAAACCCATGTATCTTTTACGACACTACCCTGGTCCCTAAACTGACCACTATGATACTAAAATCATGCTTTGTTTAATAGTAATACTTCATTACAATTGGTTGAGAACTCACAATGCTTGGCATACAAACTATAGGATTTAGGAAATCGTACAAACCTTTGTATCTTTTACGACACAACCCTGGTTCCAAAGCCCTAAATTAACCGCCAGGATGCTACAATCATGCTTTGTTTAATAATAATACTTTATTACAATTAGTTGAGAACCTACGATTATACTTGGCATACAAACGAGCATAAAGGACTGGAAATGATTGTGGGTAAACTAGGTACTACTCATGGAATGATCATCTCCTCATCTCCCTGGTTATCTGATAGTGACAATGGCAAGCCAAAAAAGAAAGAAAAAAACAAGCAAACAAACAAACCAAAAAACTAGTGGGATACAAACGATGGTCGAGGAACTTTCAAGATTTAGCGCACAATTTCTTGAACTCTTCATTTTTGGCTACCGTCTCAGAAATACGTAATTGTATACATTCATTTTCTTTTTTCATGTCATATAATTCTTTTTTTACTTCGACAAGCAGTTTTGTTTCCTGAACGATCTTTTCCTGTATACTACGAAGACCTTCGTGTAAACTGTGATCGTAAGTTTTGTTTATTTCTTCCATTTCCCGTTCATGTTGGATGCGTTTTGAATCGATGCTCTTCCGCTCCGAACTTTGCCTCTCTCTCATGGCCTTCAGGCGAATATCGTATGCTTCTACTTCTGCCTTTAACATGTCCGCTTCTTTTTTCGTCTCTCCATGTTCACCTGCGCAATTTTTACCCTCCTTGTTTAAGTTTTCGGAGTCTTTCCTCTCTTTCTCAAGCATATTCCTTTTGTTCTCGAGTTCGCGTATCTTAATGGCTATGACAGGAAAAGGGGCGCGCATGGTCGGTTCGAAATTCTCTAGCCAATTTTTTCTTTTTTCTTCCTCCTCAACCCGTTTTATCTCGTTTATTTGCTCTTTTAAGAAGTGTGCAAGATTTTTCATTATAGTCCTTTCTTGTTCGTACCCCGGAAAATCTCCAAACACGGGTGTCTGAAGGTCTTCGCACAAAAGTTCAAGTGCCTTGACTTTGGAATAACTCGTTGAAAGGTGTTTTTTGTGGTTAATTTTAGCAATTATTTCTCTTTGCGCCTGGCTGGCTTCTTCTACCTGTGGACTTCCTTCCTCCTTTTGTTGTTTCTCCACTCTTTCATCCAGTCCGAATAATGCAGAGTTCACAAACCATTTATTCTGTCTCTGTCTCGATGGCGTTAATTTTTTATTGTTCACCCGAGTCGTCGCTGGTTGAAACTGAAATGTGGCCCTACTTGGAATCCTTTCTCCACATATTTGACCATTTCCCTGAAACTGAAATGTCCCAACCCGTGGCGTAAAAAGAGGAGGGCCTGGAAACTGCGCATGGACGCTGCCAATCTGATTTGGTGTCGGATTGAAGTGCAGATTAGTTCTCGGATGTTGCACTGCATTCGGATTTGTTCCTGCCGTGCGTTGATTTTGGAACCAAGGGATTCCCATCTGCCTGGGGAGAAATGGATTCGTTGGTGATGGTTGTGGGAAACGTTGATTAGTTCCCCAATATTGTGGGGTTTGGTTATGAGTTCCCGGATGATATGCGTTGTTCTGATTTGTCCCTGCGGGTTGCGTTCTGATTGTCAAGTTGAGGTTTCCCATTCTCTGATTACAACTTGTTGGGATATGACGAACATCTGTCTCATGTCGCTGATATGTGAGTCTTGAGTTCATGAATAAGCTAGAAACAAAGTAAGTTTGTGTAATTAATGCTCAACATCGAGATTGTTCGGAAGAACTACATGATGTAAAATGAGGTAGAAAACTGCAAGTAACATGCTTGCTGGATTTCAAAGTTCATGAGAAGTTTAAAAGGAAGTTAGAAAAAGAAGAAAGATTCCTACCGGTACCAAGAGATTGTAACCCTCTGATAATACCAGACCGTCTATCATAGGTTAGCAAACGCCAGTTAAAGAAAATATTAGTTTTTCAAACATTTTTTATTTACATCCCCCGACTTGTCTGACTTCCTTCCGGAGCAAAGTGCTCCAACGTTAAGGACCGTTCATCCAGCAAGTTAGGTCAAGAGAGACCACAGTCTGATCGCATGAATAAAGGATCTTTAATTCGCAGTCATAGCTCATGGCAGAAACATTGACACAGCTAAAGCCTGAGTCGAACAGTTATCTATTTGCTTTTCAGCTGCACTTAAATTCGTGATCAAATAAAGTTTATGTATCATGTATGTAATTGTAATTGTACTAATATTACTGAGTAGGAGCAACAGGCGTGAAATTATCTTCGTTTGGTAAGAACAACCAAAGTGTACTTTCAGCACATTGAAGCTGGCTCAGATTTCATAAGTCACACTTAAGTTACCTGCTCCTTTAAGTTCTCCCGGTGACTAGCTGCGCAGGTGCGGTTTCAACACCTCTAAGCTTTTTGCACAACAGGTGAAAAGAGGCCGCGCTGTACTGATCAATTGCTAAGGCGTGTTTGTCCTGGGTGGCAAGTTTCAATTTTCCAGAGCCACATTTTCTTTGCTTATAAACCAACAAGAAAACAAAAGATCTTCATGAAGTTGCCAGGCAAACGATCTAAGCCTCAGGATCTACTCCATGTCCACATGTATTATATACCTTTTCGACAGTTGAGGACTTGAAGGACCGTAGATAAACGTAACGTACCCAAAACAAACTTTTCAAATCCAACCCGATAGTTTCAGGAAACCAGCTATTAACAAGGATCCCAACTTACCTCAAAGATTGTGATCAATCAGTAACCAATGCCACTTCTTTAGAAGGGGTTTCACTTTGTTTCCAGTTGTGGTCATACACACTTGCTTTCCGAGTGTCGTCATAGTAAGAGATTCAAATTTTAACGGCACGCGCCAAGTTTGCGCGCGTGTTATTGGTGATTCCTAAAGTTTCTCTGCGCACCTGGACGCGCGCATAGTAGCACGTAAACATTAACGCAAATGCTCGCACGTGCGCAATTAGTTACGAAAGATGGTGGCCTGCTACCGCTAACAGGTTGAAATGCGATAGAATTGCCACTTCTAGAGACTCAGTGATCGATTAGTTTGCTCGCTTTTACATTCTTTCGGACTCGAAAAAATAAAAACATACATCAACATATTGGTACTATTATTTATTGATGTGGTAGCAGTTTCTGTCCGAGGAGGGTAGTTCCATTTAAATGGCTGCGATAACTTATGTTCGTTAAGCAAAAGTTGTACTTCAATATGATTATAAATTATCTTCTTAGTTATTCTTCTTCGAATTACGACAATATTTTTTAACGTTTTCCTGATACAGTTTACTAGTTTGTAAAGGTCGTTATCTTCTAAGCATAATCATGTAATTGATTGGATTTCAAGTGAGTAATTACACCATTTGAGAAATATGCAGATAGTCAAATGCTGGTGCTTTATGATACCCAGCGAGTCAGTTTAATCCCTACATGAAGCAAACCAGTATATTGATACTGAATTTTACCCCCATTTTAAGATTTACTTCCCTTAACTTTTAGCATACCATAAACAACAGCAACATCTTGCATACCATAAACAACATCTTGAGCTAAGAGCAAAACTAAAAACCCAACAAGAACTAAGCCTCCATGGAAATCTTTGGAAAAATATCAGGAAAAGCGTACGTTCATTTTCTAGCGAGTAAAATTACATATCAGCTTCTCCGAAACAGGATCTTTCTAGCCAGTTTTCTCACTGTAAGGTTTTTTCTCTCCTAGAAATTGGACTGGGGTACTCCATCAACAAAACAAAACATCATTTCCACGCAAGCAAAGAGCAAAAGAACCCAGGCTCCGCACAACGAAGATTGTGTCCTTCCACTTTAAATAACACTCTCTTAATAGGCGACTCCAGCTTAAGGTGGATGTCACACAAAAGTGTTCCGAAAAATAGATACACATGTCCGTGGAGAGCATTCAACATAATACTCTAAAGGCGTGAACTTAATCTTGAAGTGTTTCATATGCTTTTAACAGATTTCATGTCTTTGTCTAATCTAGTGCTGAGAGCCTAACATGGAAGGTAAAATTAAATTTAAAATAACGGCGCAATAATTTATTAGAGGTATTGTCCGATTACAGAATCTTCTTTGTTTCGCCGTTGACTTCTTCGCTGCTTTCTCCTTGACTAGCTTTGTCTTCCTCCTTGGTATCTTTCTCAGGGTTGTCCTCGTACCTGTAATGATGTAGACACGTATGAGTCGTGTTACACACAAAGAGCGTGTTTTGATCGAATATTACAAAAAAACAATAATAAAAATAATAATAATAACAATAATAATAATAACAATAATAATAATAACAATAATAATAATAATAATAATAATAATAACAATAATAATAATAACAATAATAATTGAAAATTGAACATTGTGACTTTGAGATCGAAAAAGAACAAGCTGGATTTAGAGAATAGTTTTTTTTTTGTTTTTTTTGTTTGTTTTGTTTGTTTTTTTTTTTGAGAATATTTTTGGATTTTTAATATGCAAGATGGATTTTTTTTTTATCTTCTAATAAGATTTTCCATGATATTTCCCTTGAGCTAGATTGAACTCGGAAATAGTTAAGGATAGGATTAGGAAGTAACAGATTGTAGTCAATAGAATGTAATCATTAGAATGTAATCATTAGAATAAAATAACTATGTGAAATGAGACCTATGACAGATTTTAATTTAATTAAGTTTATACTATATTGTAGGAAAAGAATTTTAGTGAATTAAAGTTTACTTTCTATCATAAAAAAAAATACAAAATAATAATAATAATAATGATAGTAATGACTGAAGAACATAAGAAAATATTCTAGGGAGCCGATAGGAACTCAAAGACACCCTCAAACGTGCTTGGTTTTAGTATTGCACCTGATTGGCCAAAAGGATTGCATGAGTTCTCTAGATGAGTCATGGAGCAAAGTAATACAAAATAAATATATTCCCACGTTACTTTCGACGCCGAATTGAAAACGTGTCTGTCCTTTGGACCATGTAACTAGTATTCTGTGTGATTTACCATATGGGTTGATGAAGTTTTAAACTTAACCCTCTCAATTTAAAACACTTTTTTGAAGGTTTTTCATGCCTTGGAGACCTGTTCAAGACTCTACGTTCCACTTTGAAAATAGATCAGTAATTATTTCAGCACAATGTCACAACAGCAAAAATATCAGTGAGCCTAGAACAATATTGAAAAAATACTTTGAGGACTTGTAGCAAGGTTTCAAATAACATTCACCACATCTTCACATCAGAATATTGAAAAAAGCATTTCAAATAAAAGAATCTGGCTTGCAGTCTCATTTGGAATGAGGTAGGCCAATTGGTTTTAAACAAAGCAAAGCCAAAGAGTTGAAAAGACAAGAAGTAGAAGCAAGTAACCATTTGGTAACAGTGCCACAAAAGAAGGGTGTACACCACTGACTGCACATTAACATTGAATATACAGCTCTGTATGAAGACAATTTAAATGACTGTCTCAATCAAACTTACTTGAACAAATCAGAAATTTCTCCTCTTAAGAGAGCCAGTGTTATTGGGGTCCCCAGACAAGCTGGTACCAGATACAGTAAGGCAGGTTGGGCAGCCTTGAAGGTATGCATCACCAAAACAGTCAGTACCAAGCCCAGGAAATATGCAACAAAGCCAGAGTAGAAATACACACGGCTGGTCTTGTCTTTCTTGCTGCTGTCAACAGAAAATTTCATAAATATGTGCCTTTCAGATTTTTTCAATACAAATGCAATCACAAATATTCACATACCAATTTCCACAACAAATAGAAGCACATGTAGTAAGGAATAATCCAGAGAAAACAACACAGCATAATCTTAAGTTGCCTTGCAACAACATGAATTTTTCACACAAGGATGGTTTCATCTTCAGGCTGAGTATTAGTCAAATTCTCATACATGTACTTCAATTCCATTATCATTGCACCTTTTCTTTACATATTAGGTTTCAACTAATTATAGGAGAGGCAAACAATGGACAAGAAAATCCAAAATTCCATATGTAGCAGTTTTGTGTCAAATAAAGTCAGAGTACATTTTATAACAAAGAGGTTTGTTGATAGGATAATTAAAAAAATATATGCTGCTTTGAGAAGCTGGGATAATTTTTGCTGATCTAAAGTAGGGTACAAACAATATTAAACTTTACAACATCCAGCATTCTAAGCCAGCGTGTGCCATCACTCTTATATGGACAATTACTTGTCAAATCTTACAAGTCAAGTAGGAAAAGCTGCAAGTTTTAATCAAGACCACTCACCTATGATCAAACCTCAACAGAAGTGCAATAAAAATCCCTGAAAAATAACAAGAAGAGAGACAAATCTTCATCAATTTACATGTATTATGACAAACATACTGGTAAAAAAGAAACTTTGCACACTATTAACAGTCATAGACTGCAATTCAACTCACCTGGTATAACAATGTCTCCAAGTCCCAGCATAGCAAAGTTGGATGCTGATAGTCCTTTTTCAAGAAGATCCATTGGAAATATCACTGTAGTTGGGTCAAGGAAAAAATGAATTTAATAAAGAGACAAACCATATCATATGTGCAGCTTGCTATTACAGCAATGACGGATGCATCATGACACATTTGTTCAGCATGTTTAAATTTCATTCAGGACCTTAACAGGGACAGATTGCTAGACTGATAATATTTTAAAAAGCATAGACATACAATTTTATCTCTCTGGAAACCACTACCATAGGCATTTATGTTTAGGGTTAAGTTGCAGACAATTATTTTGAAAAAATCCAATGGTTGGGCATCAAGTTCCTAAGAATTTTTATTGAACATTTTGCCAATAAAACAGCGCTCCTATGGTTGAGTAATGAAGTTAGATATTAATGTTACCCTCTTTTAGTTGAATACAATTCACAAGTGTAAAAGGACACTATAAACAGAATTATTTGCTCTACAAGTATCCTTGCAAGAAAAGGAGTGAAAGCTCTCTCTCTCTCTCTCTCTGCTTTGATAGCTTACATTTGATTGGTGCCTCAAAGGATTTGGCTACAGTCACCATAACATCTGTTCCAAAAACCTAAAATATAAATAAGATTTGAACAAAAGTCAGAATTTTACTTCCTGCATACTACCTCTAGGAAAGGGGTGGTAAGGAAGGGGGAGTTGGGGTGGGTGGGTACAATGGGGAAGTTAAGAGTACCAAGAGAAGGAGATTAAACAGAGAGGGTTGGAGGGGAGAGGAAGTTAAAAATAATGACCAAAAAAAGACAGAAGGGAAGCTTGACAAAAATTTAGAATTTGGATTACATCTGCAGAAAACAGAACTGTGAAGGGTATAGTGAAACTTTTCTTAGAGGAATATGTGTAAAAAGTGAATCGCTTTCCGTAACTCTTAATAATGTTTTTTCATCTAGAATTTCTTCAGAAACTGAGGTACATACCCAGAATATGTCATATACAAAGAGACCTCCCAGGAGAATGCAGCCAGTTGTTACTGTGTTCAAATGAAGCAGCTCAACTCCATTGAGAGAGAAAGCCAGACCAAATATGTTATTGGCAATCCAGTGCTGCAAGGGAATAGAAAATTGTCTTACTGTTAAATTGCACACAAAGCCTGTTTAATTGCCAAATAAGTTTCTCTTGTTACACTGTTGGACTATTAAAATAGAAATTTTTAAGAACATTTTTCAATTTAGCAACTACAATAGTTGTTTTAAGGTAGTAGAGAAGCTACATATTAATTAACAGATAGTAGATAGAGAAGAAATTCTAACTTTTAAAACTGTAATTTGTGTCAATGTATAAATCATGACCCTCACCAGCCATCATTGGTTTATTTGACTTACATGTAACCCTTTCAACCCTGACAGTGACCATCCTGTAACTTCTCATTACAGTAATACAGCCAAATCAGCTTATGGAGATTATGGAGAATATGAATTTTGATGTTGGGGTGTGAAGGGTTAAGTTAATACCACATCTTGAATGATTTCCTTCCCAAGCAAACTTTACATCTGAGACTGTCCTCAACCTGATGAGATGCGTTATGATGAAATGTGAAAGTATACAGTCAACTAACCTTCTTCAATAAATACCACAATCCCAGTACAGCCGAGATGCCCAGACAAAGCAAGTCTATTCTGTCAAACTCATAGTGCACCAGTTCTATGAGGTAAAGAAAACAATCTGCATAAAATGCACCTTTGAGGATATACAAAAGAGCACATGATGCAAACGCAAAGCAGGCCAGCCTTAAATACTAATGGGAAAACTTGGTTTGTAACTTTATAGCACAGACTGAGAAAACAAGGTTAGTACAATATCTGTTATATCCATGAGTTCAAATAGAAGGGAGAGATTTCAATTCAGAGAAACTTTAGAATTTAGCAGGCTGTAAAGTAAAATACAGCTCACAATTTTCATCAATCATGGCACACATACTAACTGAGTGATACACAAATAATAAATGCAATTACCTGATTTTTTTTCACCCTTTCCCTCTATAAGATCAAGGGTATAGTTCTTGTTTGGAAATGATGCTGGCAACACAAGCTCAACATTTGGTCTGCAAAGGAAGAAGGAACAGTGGGGTTTCAATCATTACAGAAAGATCCAAAATGTAGGAGACCAAAAGCCGCATCGATCAACTCTCCATTTAGTAATGGTAATACAACCAACATATACAATTGGTTGGAGCAAAAAGTTGGGCTCATAATTTCAAGTTGGCCATGTGCACAGCATAAGGCTGACTGGAAGTTGCCCACACAATTACCCTTGACTTGTACATGAGATTACAATACAGTCATTAATGTCATTGCTAATAACAAAGAAATCACCCAATGGAATGTTAATTTTGGTGAAACAACAGTATGTTTGTAATTACACCTGTAGCATCTGTTTAAAGCTGGATTTGTTGTAATGTAAAGTTAATTACTTTTCATCAATTCCTTGGCTTTTTTAATGACTGTAATTTGATTTCTTGTGTTAAATAGTAACCAAAAAAAAGTCTTCTGACCAATAAATTATAATCTCTTCACTCCTCAAGCTGAACCCTAAAAACCTATTCACTCAGATCTGATCTGCCACAATACATTTGCATACAACTGTGCAATTTATCTACTCCAAATTTACTGTGGCACTTTGCACTCAGGCAGGGCAAATCTTCAACAGCCAGAAGGGCATACATGTATAATCACATGGGCCCAAGGGTATTTAAGGGTTAACTTTAAGGGCATTTTCATTACACTTAAACTAATGTTGATCATGTTCACCTACTGATGCAGACATTACCTGAGTAGATGAGTAACTGCCAATACACCAAGACCAAAGAAGTACAAAGTTAGAAGCAAGTTAATGTATTCCTTGCTGAATATCTAAAATAAAAACAAAACCAACAATGTCTGAAACACTCCTAAAAAAAATCATTCATACACATACATTTATGACAAGGCAAATCTGGTAAATGTGTGGGTGGTGATCATAGTTAGAGAAGTGCTGGTAAAAAATTTTTGGCCAATTATTTCAAGTTGCATGCCAGTTGGTAGTTTTTGTTTAAAAATTGAGTGATTGATTTCTTGCATGATGCATGGAAATTTTGAGGCTCATTTTATAGCTGCTTTGAATTAATTGAAAAAGCATCATCTGAAAAAGGTAAATCAAATAGAGTGGCAAGCCATGTAAAAAAAGACTGATTTACGTGTACATTCCTATTTCAAGATTTTCATATAACCTTTACAAAGGTTCTTTGGGCCAACCGAAACAAATACATTTGTTTTTAGGTAAACCTACAAACTTAAGAAAGATGGTTTCAAAAATAAATACTGGGCATTATCCACTTAAAAGTTCACAGGTTTACAAGGGGAAATTTAGTATTATCAACTGAGTTGATAACATAAATTGGCTCCTGTAAAGAGTTTCAAAGCTAGTGTTTCCAGCGCTAGCCCTTCATCAAAGAAAATCAGTTTGCTTATTAAGTGTCTCACCTTGAAAAAGATATACAGGCCCAGTAGGGTACAGCTGGCAATAATTGGAAACATGGCAGCATCTTTTGATGTCATACTTTCTGGCTTTTCTCCAGATTTCTTTTGAGACAGATGTGAAGGAAATTAAAAAAAGTATGGTGATAGGGATAAACAAGAAAATTTTGATGTTTAGTCAATGTGATCAGTATGCAGTAGGAGAAGAAAAACTGAGGCCTAAAATAGGACACCTTTCTGATGATGTAGCTCACTATTTGTCACCCTTCTTGATATATTTACATACAAAAAGATACCATTTACAATAATGGGTATTTTACAAAATGTGCATCAACAAAAGGGCATCTCATATTTCTATTTTTAAATGAAAATGGTATTCGACAACTAACAAATTTTGCCCTTTGCCAGTGTTTTACATCATCCTCCCTTCACAAATAGTCCAAATTGGCCATGACAACTCAACTGGATAGAAACAGGTTTCAGAGGGGATTGAAAGGGCTTTAACTTCCTTGAACACGATTTCAAAGGGTTTCAAACCATTTTAAGATCAGGTTTCAAAAGAGTGAAAAGAGTGGTCCACGAGCTGCTCTATACTATTAAATAGTTGATGGACCATAAAGGATAGAAGAACATGCATTTCAAAATTGTATTTGTTCAACTACTTGTCTTAAAGGCAAAGAGGAATTGTCTCATAGTAAGGCATGCTTATCTATTGGTACACTTTGAATAAAGAACAACCAAATGCATCTAACGAACAACATCTTATGCCATGAAACTCCTCTAAAAGGCCAAAGAAATACATAATAATAAGCCAAATAGAAAACTATTACCAAATTTATGCGAATAGATGAAACCAGAAAAAGTAACCGGTAACTCATCGTGAAAACAAGCAATTGACTACATGGTTTTATTTTCACTAATCATAGTACTAATTACTTTGGCAATTGCAGAATACTGTACGAGTAAAATTGTTTTCTCTTAATACACTGAACGATTGGTCAATCAATGATCTATGATATCCATGTTCCTTTCACCCACGCGAGAGGAATAGAGGAAGGTAAAAAAGTTGTTAACTTAAGCTATAGGTAAGTACACGTAGACAAAACCAGTTCCTCTTTCACCAAGAAGATTACTGGAATTCTAACCAATATCCTGGTCTGTAAGATCGTACCGTCTAAGTTTTAAGTGAATACCAGAAAGGTAAAAAGAGGTAAAACAAAAAGCGTTAAATCAAAAGGTTATGTGATCAATGACCAACCTTCTGTTCGATCAGATACTTGACGGAGCGAAAAGAACCAAAAAAGATCGGTAAAAGGGCCATCAAAACTAAACTTGAATACGCCATTAACATTCCCTCTGGAGTTGCCGCGGCTCTTCCAGTAGCATTCTTCGCTGTTTCATTCACGGTCGCCGAAAGATTCGCCACAGTTTCATTCACCACTGATTCCGCCATCTTATCTTTCTAATAGTCTTTTGTTAGAGGAAGCGGTCGGCAATCCCAGAGTTCCTTGTCAGCGTAGCCCCCTCTTGTTTTCCTTTCCAATGGCCTAAGTACACGTTTACTGTCTTTCAAAACGATCAAAATTTCACCTGCTCCGTAATTTGACAAATTTAGTGCTTTCATATCGTATTTGAAAATATATAGCTCTGATTCCTGTCTGTCAAGCTAGCGCAAATATTCTTTCAAAAAAATAAATAAATAAATGAAAGGCACCTCATCAAAATAACCGTTTTTTGACTTTGTTAAATAAAGGCCTTTTTCTTGATACTTTACTGCTTAGAATTTTATTCATAATTCCTAAGAGAGAACTTGTTTTGTTGCTGATTGTAAATTATTGGAAACCTTTCCTTATTAACAATTTAGTGACGTCATACACCGAACTACATTGTCGTCTTTGCTATTATGACGACATAAGAGAAACTTTTTGCGCCCTGATCCATAGGCGCAAGATATGAAAACACGTCGTAGCCAAGCGAGGTAAGAATTACTTGAAACTACTCAATGTCTGAACATGTTTACCAAATGAAAGTTAAAAGTACTCAGAATGAACACTTCGATCCGTATCCAAATTGTTCGTTTTGCGCAGACCAAGCTTTTATCAGTCGCTTTAACCACTTAGCACTCGTATATTACGAGATTGAGCGAGGAGGGAACATGATTTAGCTTAAAAGAAATATTTCCTAGAAACAACAGCTTCTCAAGTGGTTCACCGTACCAAAACCTTTATCCAGGCAAAGCATACTAGTTCACTCCAATCACAACCGGATGTCAGGCCCCAAAGTCAAAAGAGAGATCTTCTCTTGCCCAAAGTTACACGCTATAGTTCTGAGACCTTCAAGATATAAATCCCCTGGAAGAGTATGCGCTGATATTGGTTTTATTCAAAAGTTCTCCCGTTATTTTCGCACAGTTCTCCATATTCAGATCCCCAGTATTTCTGGAATGGACTACTGGAACAATGGATGGTGAGTAAGAGATGGATAAGCGGAATTTAATCAATATCGACTCTTGTTTTATCAGAGGACTGAACAACATGTTTTATACTACGACTACGACAAGAAGTCGACATGTGGAATCTTCACTCTAAGCGGCTGAGATTGTCTGTTTTTCTGTTGCGTTGATATCGTCAATGGGTTTCTCGGAACTTTTGCTGATACAATTCAACTTGGATAGTTTTAACCATTTACACCCTACAAAAGAATATCAACTGATGATATTCTCTCGCACCCTAAAATTGATAAACACATTCTCCATACTTTTTTCCATGTATTTCTTAAGGTACCGATGAGGAGAATTTGTTTGACAATTCAAAGCTTCTTACGTTGGTGATCATTTCCTTTATTTTTATTACCTTGATATTTGTCTTGGAGGTGATATAGTGAGGGGAGATTAGAATGTTAGTCTCTCTTAGGGGTTAGGAAAGGATTGAATGCCAAATACAAGTTTTATGCAAGCGCCAAATTCGGCTGAAATGAACTTACCTATTTATAATAATTTTTTGTAAAGGATTTAAGGGCAAACTACATCCCTGAGGGTCAACTTCCAATGTGCAGAGAAAAGCCTTCGAGAAAGAACTTCAGAGAAGGTCAGGGAATGAATTCAAGTTTAGAACTTCGTACTAAATAAATTTACCATGGTAGTAATCAGTAGCGGATCCAGACCTTGAGCTAAGGGGGGGACCCGGTTGTTTGTCGCTTGCCTTGCCGGCTTTTCTTCTGCGATTTTTTTTTTACTTTTACCCAAAATAAGGTGGGGGAGGGGCGGACCCTCCGGCCTTTCCCTTAGATCCACCTCTGGTAATACAATGAAACATGTTATGTCTCCTTAATACGTTCCACAAAAGATTTCGGTTGCACAAAATAATAGACAGTGATGGCTAGATAAAGCCATTGAAACGAGGATCGATGAAACACATTTTCCCACAAGTAAACTGGGAGCAAACTATATAGTACTCCAATTCTATGAAGTACTTGAGTAACACTTTAATCCCAAAGCTATAACTGAGGACGGGGTCATTCAAATAAAGTTGATTATTTAACCCTATACACCCTAACATCAGTATGCAAGTTCTCCATACTGTTCTCTAAATATTCCCTATGGTACTTACGAGGAACAACACCCAATCAAGTGATCAACATGAAACTTCTCCCCATAATATCCTTAGACTATCCAGCAAAAAGGTAATGAGAATATTCAAACTAATCAGCTAGAAGTTGTTATCTTGATCTAACACCAAGTTCTCAAGACTAATTTACAAGGAAATGTGTCACAGGTGGAGGGGAGAATTAACAATCAGATCTTAAGAGTTAAAGGGTTAAGAGCTTCTTAAATTTGCGATTACTCTCTTAATTCTCATAACCTTAATTTTTGATTCGGGGATGATACTGTTGGGAGAAATTAATTGCTTATCACTCCCAGGGGTTAGAGAGTTCACTTAATGTTCGAATCGAAGCTTGGATAAAGTCGATCATTATAGCCTTAATTAGTAGCTGTGGAGTCGGCTCAGAATGTACTTTACTTTGTTCCCTCTCTGCGTTTTGTACATTGAGGGAAGGAATATTTTTGCCAACTACGAAAGATTTGTTCATTATTGAAATATTTTTAAGGCATGAATGGCAGCAAATTGATTTTTGGTTAATATCAATTGTGAAATGAATCCCATATTCTTCTATCGTCAGTTGATCAAGTATCAAATCTTCGTATCGATCTGAGGGAGGATTTACTTAGAAACTGGACGGATCAGGAAAAAGCCAATTTCATTCAAAGGTACCTGTATTCTTGAAAAGAAAATTAATACACGATATTCACAGTGTCATCTCCTCCAAGAAGTACTTTCATGCATGGCTAACAGCAGCCTTCAAGGAAAAGCTGACGAAATGTTTCAGGATAACACTACAATAGATCTAATTTGCATCGCATCTGGGCGGGAGTAGCATAAGTCTTGACAGTTAAATTAAGGTCCATCATAGTCTGGGTATGTTCCATTCGAGGGTACGAATCCTTGGGTGAAGTATTCCATATCTAGCTTGTTGAATAAAAGGAGTAAGCTTCAAAGAAACTATGATTCTGCGTCGGGCATTACAAGATAATGATTTGGTTTTAACAACTGGGTTGATAATGTTAATTGGCCTCTGTAAAGGGTCTTTAAAACTGACGTTTCGAACGTAAGCCCTTCAATTCGCCCTGACGAAGGGGTAACGCTCGGAACGTCAGTTTCAGAAACCCTCTATGAAGTGGCGTTGAAATTTATCACTGGGTTCTTACTAATGAGTTGTACATACACTCTCATTCGTAAATTTTGTATCAATTTCAGTAAAATTAGCGCCAGAACCATACCCGTCCCTGATTCCTTAAGGCAAATACGGGCCATAATGACTCGAAAGCTCGTTTGCTTTTTCGATCTCTTACTATACTAGAGAATGTCAGGCATATCAAGGTAGAATGTAATTTAGATAAAGACAATATAATGGCTCGTTGAATCGTAGGACCGTCTAAAACTGAGTTATAAGGAAAGTATGATTATGATAAGAAGTAACGACTCATAAGTAATTCCAGTTCCGATGTGTCATAGATTAACTGAGGTTGGAAAAGATTTCCAGTTGATTGCAGACACTTTGCCGGGAAAGGTAAGGTGGATAAAGTGCTAAGTTAAAAAAAAACATAACATTTAGTTTTAAAGTAATTATAACACCTGACCTTATCAAGTCTTCCTCAATCTCCCCACACTCTTCCCGATCCCAAAAGCAAAGCCCATCGCCTTTTTAATTTGGCATTACAAACTGGATCCAGTGACTTCACATGAACACAGAGTGGTAGCATTACATACACAAATATCTCTGTCCAATGGTTGACTTATTTCTATGAATACTTTTGTAACAATTTATATTTGCACGCCCAGAAGCTTGTGACTGACACAACATAGAAACAGAGTACGAAAGTGACATGTAAGGTCCACTCGGTTCAAATGCAATTCTTCGGTAATATTGTAAGATCTCAAGGTGACGTCAGAGAGTGATTTAGCATTATCAACTGTGTTGATAACGTAAAATGGCCACCGTTAAGAGTTTCAAAGCTAACGTTTCAAGCGTTAGCCCTTCGTCAGTAGCGTTGTCCGCTGGGATATTTGCTGTTTCGCTTCAGACGATGATTCCCAATTATTTTTTACAACCTTTAACTTTGCAGACGGTGGCTCAATGCATTCAGTATTACTACCTCACCAAACATAGATGTTGCTACAAGAAAGTGAGTAACTTTTGCAGCTGATGCAATCGAGCTGCGCGCGCGTTAAGTCAGTGACACACTAGGTTGCGCATATTTCTTGTGCCAGTTTTTAGTTTTTATCACATTTTGACTTCATCTGTGACTTGTTACTGGAAAGACGCACGGCAGCATGGAATCTATTTGATATATAGAACCCAAACTAAATTCTGTCCATTGATAATTCGGATAGGATTGTGGACGGACTCAATTCATTGTGACAACACGCCTCCGTCGCACCCGTTCTTCTGGGTGTCAGGCAATGTTCTTAAAGAACATGATATCAAAAAGATGAAGGAGCGAGGAGGACAACACCTGTTGTCGCTTGGTTCTCCTCACGTGATGAATTACGACTTAAGTGCATTTATAAATAATTTTTACGCTATTTGAGAAGCAGAGAGAACCGTTTACATGGAAAATTTTATTATTAATTTTGACTTTTCATTATAGTTACTTAAGAGGGCGATATATCACAAAAATGGACTTAAAACACGTCGAGCTAAATCATGTGGGATCAGTCAGAGGGCGAACGAACAGAAACGAGAAGCAATTCGTGATATTCGTACTGTTGCTAAAGGCAAGCTACGAAAAGCGTTCTCTTGTCCAGAGCCTAAGATTGTAGAACCCAGAGAAACATCACGTTTTGAGAAGAGCAGAAAGAAGGAAGAGAGTGCCTCAGAAAGTATGATACAATGTGACAAAAACACCGCG